TCACTTATGAGTATATGTTCAAGTGGCATCCACTTCAATATAAAGGCTTCGAGTTTATCATTCTTAATAGCTGAATAATACTCCATTGTGTAAAAATATCACGTCTTTTTCAACCTATTTTAATGTTCTTATACTATATATAGATTATTTTAATAACACTTTAAATAAACCACACTAGCAAGTTATAGATACAGCATGTCCGATTATCCCTAAATCAACCCCAAATAAAGAGCCAAAGCTAAGAATTCAGCAAAATAAAAGGATATTAACCAATTAAAAGAAATACGAAGAAAATGAGGAAGAAAAGAACAAGGACAAGACAAAACAAATGGTGAGATGACAGATATAAAGCTGATTAATAATCATATTAAAAGTAAATGACTTAAACATTTGAACTAAAGGTAAGGGTTGTAATATTGAGCAACAATGTAAAAAGGAAAAAATCCTTCTGCACGAAAATTACAAAAAAACTGAAAAAGAAGACCAGAGTTTTGAAAGTTAAAGGTAATTTTTATATATGCTAACATTAATCAAAACACTGTTGTGGCATTATAAATTTTATACAAAATTAGAGCAAAGGACCTTTTGGGGAGGAAGGATACAGTCACAATGATAAAAATCAAAATAAGTCACACACACTCAAAACAATTGTAAGGTATCTAATTACTGAATTTCAAAGAAGCAAAATAAATATTGATAGATGTACAAGAAGAAATAAATGAATCAAAAAAATAGCCATAGATTCCAACAACTTGCTCAATAGGTAAGAAAAAAAGTAAACAGAGTGAAGAAAGATTTATCAGAGTTGATTTTGTTATCTGAAACATACTTACAAAATATGCCATCAAAAACAGGAGAATACATTTTTTTTAAGTTAAGCATTGTATCTTACCAAGAATGATGAAAGGTTTTGGTTTTTTTTTTTGAATAATAGAAAAGGCTTAATACATTAAAAAAGATACAAGAAATAAAAACAGAATGTTTTCACTGCAAGAGAATTAAGTTTGAACCCAATAACAGGGAGATCTTCAATCTATCTAAGAAAGCAAAGGCAAATTAAAAATGTTTTTAATTGAATAAAAGCGTAGCTTATCAAAATTTGTGAGATTTTGATAAACTAAGAGAAGATATAGTACTATATTTCTATATTAAGAAAAGAATAAATGTCTCAAATTAATGACTCCCATTCAGAGATTAAAAACTTTGGGCCAGGGAGATGGCTCAGTGGAATAAGCACTTTCCTGGCAAGCACAAGGGTCTGAGTTCAATCCCCAGTTCCGCAAAAAA